AATCTCTCATTTATTACGTGTTTAGTTAAAGCCAACTGACAAGTTACTGCAGTGAAGCTTTTTATTTAATTTTCTTATGTTCGTACAAGTGTTTTCTTTTCTGGACACAAAAAAAACTGTCCAAAAGTTCTGCATATCCAAGCGTTTTCGGGTATCATTTTAGCCATTAACAAGGATGATTTTTATTTTTTTATTTTAACTGAAGGTGCAGGTTTTGTATGTATATGTTTTAAGATTTTGGACAGTTTTTACACACATTGTGCCCGGAAAGAAACACTTGTACGAACACAAGAAAAATTAACTAAAAGGCATCTTAAATGCAGTAACCTTTCAGTTATCTTTTAACTTTAACGAAATATATATATATATATATATATATATATATATATATATATACACAACAGAGAAAAAAGTAAATTTCCTCATGGTTATAGTCTATTCCAAATGACGCCGAGTACGTCAATCTTATTCAAGCCAGACGTATGGACGTATTCTGTGTCGGAACTAGTGATTTAAAATTTAATATTTAACAAAGACAGCAGTTGAAAAATTGATACAGAGATGAATAGTAGAGGATGCTGTTTTTTTGTTAAAGTTCATTCTTGTTCCATCTTCGTATACCCTTCCCTGATCCGCTGAACTTTGGTTTTGTGATCGGAAGTAGACATGCTGTTATTTAAGGAGATTTGTTTAGGATAGGGAAGGCAATGTTTAAGTGATCAATGCCTATCTCTTCATATCTGTGCGTGTATATGAGTAGAGCCTAGTTTCTGAAGACGTTAAATAAATTGAGGCTCTCGTTGCATCCTTGCCGTACTCTAGACCATGTTTGGAATGCTTCCCTATTTGGTGTCCTCAACCGACATGTAGGATTTACCTTTTTTCTATCAGATCTAGACATTCAGTTGTTTCGGTGGATGTTTCTATCGATATGCGGATGAAGTATCTACTAGTGAAGCCGTATGCTGCTCTGATCAGGTTTTTCAATTTCTTCTTTGAGATGAAAGCAATTTCCTGGAGTCGCGTGATAAAATATAATGCACTCATTACATCCCTTACAAGACGGAAAACCGAACTGGGTCGTAAATAGTTGATTTTCATAGAACACAGAGAGTATATTTCAGAATATGTGTATTAGTATCTTACCCATAATTATACATTGGAGATACCTATATGTGTGATGCTCAGGGAGTTAAATTAGTATTCCCGTAGTGCATTAATATATGATTACTCCTATGTTTGTGCGATAATTTCATATTCCTTCATTAAATTTAGAAATTTGTTTTTTTTTTTAATTTCGGGGAGAGGATACGCCATTTTCAAAAGTTTAGCCATAATTTCAAGCGAGGCTTTAATAATTTTTTAATAGTTTTCTTTCCTTCCTCATCATAAGAATCGGTTGAGTTTATGTTTGGAGACAGACATTGTAATGCTCGGATGTATATTAGTGTATGTTTTCTTTTTCGCGAGGATCTTCAGCTTCCTGTGGTCAGGGTTAAAATGGGACAGGACGATATCTTTCAAACTCTTTTTGTTTCGAGTTTAAGTTGTTGTCATGATTTTGCACTTTTTTTCATATTTTCAAACAATGTATAACTTGCTTGGTTTTATTAATTTCGTTTCATATCTTTCGCAGGTATTGTTTTATAAGAGCGTTAACTGTTTAAAGGTAACATTTGCTTAATTCAAATAAAAATAGTCTACCATTAGCGTCACTGTGTCATCATTTGAGGAAATGGCTTGTGTGCAATGTAAGCGGAGGAATAGGCGCATCAAAAGCGTAATAACACTAAGGATATTTTTAACATTGCTTCAGCCATCGCAAGGAGTGCTGTTTCTTGCTCTCTGTATATGGGTCACAATCTGGCTTTAAATCACCGTGTATGTACTTGGGGTATTAAAGTGTACAACATACACTCTCATCCGGTGAAAAACGCTTCCATATATATATATATATATATATATATATATATATATATATATATATATATATATATATATATTCATTGATGCATGATTCATTAAATAATATAGACAAGTTTTGTCTATTTATTTTATGTAAATTCTTTTCATATCGTCTGATAAACTTAATAATATTATTATTAAAAGAAGAAATATATACCATATTGATAACATATTTTTTTAATTCTATCTAACCTTTCGGTATACATAAGCTATCATCAAAAATGACAATTACATTACAATATATTAACCAATATACGGACAAAACAATAGTGATAGTCTGTTTTTGATTGTATGAATGATTTCCAAGCAATTACATACGAGACGCTGGAAGCGAAAACCGTCCGCAGCTCATGACGTCACAGATGACCACGCGAGAGTAAAAACGAGAAGTATTAAATATGGGAATCCGTTTGTATAAACCAATGGCTTCTGTTATCAATTATAAGCATTTAAAATATTTGTGGAGATTTCCTAGTTTATTTTGTTCAGGTTAGGTTTCAACTGTTTTATGTATATAGCTTCAAGAATTTTAGGTTTTTGTTTATTGCTTTCATGTTTAAGTATATTTGTGTTTTCGACAAGGATTTTCCGGAATTGTGTATGCGGCCAGGCATGTTGGTTTAAATGCCTAAAAATGTTAGAGTTATCATTCAAATGTAGTGTCAAGAGTCGTGAAAGCGTGTTTATCGCGTGTTCAACATAAATATTATTTAATCCATTGGAAATACAATCTCCCAAAGGGCACTTGAATTTGTAAACTATGTTGATTTTTTGCAAATATGGTGATTTTCTTTCATCATTTAATGAAAATGTTATTGAGCTTATCAGACGATATGAAATGAATTTACATAAAATAAATCGACAAACTTGTCTATATTATTTAATGAAACATGCATCAATGAAAAAATGCTGCCTAAATACACACACACAATACCCCCCATATATATATATATATATATATATATATATATATATATATATATATATATTAATAATTTTTGTGACGTACAGTGGTCGTTAATAATTAACTCAAGTAAGTATTTATTTGTGGTTGTAATTAAATACTGCTTTATTTTAATATTGAATTTTTTTACTTCATTGTTCTTACTTAAGTTGTAAAAGACAACTAAAGGTAACCATTTCAGTGAATACCTTCTTAGTAGCTCCGCTCGGCTTAACGTCTGGTAAATCCTAAATCAAATCCCAAATCATCGATGCAAAATAATTCACACTCAATAGTCACTCAATAATCACTTCAGCCAGCAGCCTGACACCGCTATTTATACACCTGGCGGAAAACATATATTCATAAGTCCAGAGTGTCACGATCGAACCTCGATGTCGGTAGTTACGCATTTTCTTTCTATATGACAATAGTAAATATACACTTTTTCCTCAACAGCACCACACAATATTCCCGTGATGGCTGAAAACTGACCGTTACATAATTTAAATTTTGATTGATATACCGGACTGTAATAATAGTGGAGCAGTTCATTTCCTTTAACCAGTTTGTTTAAAAACTAAAATTAAAATAAAAAATAACTATAAAATAATGGGAAAAAAAAAACTACAAAACACATTTCCACACAACATATATACTCCTAAAGATAAATACAAAACTAACACTTCTCTTTCTAAATATTACTAGCAATTAAAAAATGTTAGCAATATACCCATAATTACGTGACCTAATATATGGCCCAAGAACCACTCAAGGTAGAGTGTTATTGTATGAAGTTGTTTCTGTGTAAGAAAGTGCAAGATGACAGGAATGATAGCTAATTCTAGTCTTAAAGATATCAAGAGTTAATTAACGAATATAATGTCAGAGTTGAGGCGGAGACTTTAGGAGGATAGAGTTGAAGTAAATTTGAGAAGGAACCGCAAATCCAATGATAAACAGGTAACAAATGGTGAAACTTTGCTCTGGGACGTTTGTGAACCAGATGATAATAAAAATAAATAAAAATAAAACGGCCAGGAATGCAAAAATGTAAGTTATTTTTTAGTATTTTACAAAGAGAACGAGGAAACAATATATGAAAACTTCTTAAATGTCACCGCTCCGAACTTGAAAAGGGAACTTAATAGATGATGCAAATCATAATTTTGGTACGTAATCTTGCGAGACGCTCTGCACGGGGAAAGCATTTTTTCTTCGCAGCGTCTTGCACAAATTCGTTGTCTGTACAGACAGTGTTTCACTGAATAATCTTTAAGGGTTATATGACAGGCTAAACGTGATGCAGGCTCAATTGATAAGAAATTTAAGCCAAAAGCGTTTTACTAGCAAATACTAGATACAGTTAGGCATATCAAGAGGACCTGAAAATTATTAAAAAATAGATTCCTCGGTAGTAGTAATATATACAAAGATCAAGATCAAATTCTAAGTTTATATGAAGTAATCATTTCTTATTAAGATTTTAAGCCTAAACCTTACAACAGAAGAACTAGCGATATAGCAAAATACTCCACAGATTAGATATTTATATATTTTAATATTTTTGTTGGCTTTGAGTCAATGCCAGAGTAACTAACATTTCATTTTCATGGAAGCTATCACTGGCTCGTCGTCTATTCATTGGCATATTACAGATGGCCTGAGATTTAGTAAATCTATTATGTACGATGTAACTTGGTAGGCAACCGAGAAAGGGTGTATCAAATTCCTCACTTCCTTTCTGTCGATTTCTTTTTCAGAATTCAGAATTTCAGAATAATTTGATTTACCATTTTACCTATCTCAAATTGTTCTATCTATCTATCTATCTATCTATCTATCTATCTATCTATCTATCTATCTATCTATCTATATATATATATATATATATATATATATATATATATATTTCTGTCCTTGCCACACTCTCTCTATATTCATCTATTAAATCCCGTTCATTATCTATTTATCTATCTAACTATCGTGTCACTATCTTTCTTTATTTTTCTATCTACTAAATTCCGTTCATTATATCGTATCCTGTCCATTATATGTATGTATGTTTATCTGTTCGTGCCACCATTTCTATATGTATCTATTAAATTCCGTTTATTATCTATCTATCTATCTATCTATCTATCTATCTATCTATCTGTTCGTGTCACCATGTTTCTGTATTTATCCATTAAATTCCGTTGTTCATATATCTCTATCTATCTATCTATGTATCTATCTCTCCCTATATATATATATATATATATATATATATGTATGTATGTATGTATATATATATATATATATATATATATATATATATATATATATATATCCGTGTGTGTGTGTTTCTATATATATTAAATTCCGTTTATCTATCTATTCATCTATCTATCTATCTATCTATCTATCTATCTATCTATCTATCTATCACGAAAAATTATATATACCAACGTATCTTTAGTGTTCGTCTTTTTTTTTCTCATTTATTTCACATGATGCAAGGTTCATTGCTAGCGCAATTTCATCACCCAACTCCCAATTTTCTAATCCTGAACCCAAAGCTTTATTAATTCGATGAGTCTACACTATTTCAGAAAAGCTGCAAAACAAATGAATTAAACAATAAATAAATATAAAGTATAATTTCTCTCTGCTTTTTACCTTTGATCCTTTTGCCCGTTCCACGCGACAATCAACTCATTGTCAACTGTAACATTTCTAGAACCTTTCACTTACAGTTCAGCTCCATTGCACAAAGTGAAACCATTGAGCTACCCAGCCTTTGCCGATCATTACGAACAAACCCTTTCGTCAATGACCCTTTTCTCCCGTTAGAATTAATTCCTACCCGTCTCTCCAGGTCTGACATGGAATTTTTGACAACCGCACCTTTGGCATTTATCACGGTTAATTTAAGGAATTGCATTTACGTTTCCTCGTAAGCGCATGTATCCCCCCCACCCCCACACGATTATTAGTCTCTTTTTTTTTTTACTTTCTTTATCTTCTTCTTTATCATTGGTTTTGTTCCTTTTTTTTTTCTTTGTTTTCTTTCTCATTCTCTCGTCTTCTTTTTTCCTATACATCTCTGCTTTTTTTATTTTTTTAATATTTTTTATCGATAGTCAATCAATCAATCATTGATTCTATTTTTACATATTTCTTCACTTTCTCTGCAAATTATCTGTGTGTGTTTTTTTTTCTGTTTAGGCCATGTTCTGTTACTATTTATGTTTTTCTGTATTTTTTATTCATTTTTTCGGGCTTTCCAATTACGCTTGTTTTTCCTTGCCGTCATAAATGATAGCATGTATAAAATAATTTACAATTATTATGAGTGCGTCTGAATTTTCACGAAGTAGTTCTTTTCAACACATCGTTCTGTAAACATTCGGAACAATCCAGTACTGAATAATCTCCCGTGCACAAACGACTCGAATACAAAAGATATATGTCTAGTGCAACAAAAAGTTACACACAGTAAAAGCAATAACACTTGACGTATTCGGCTGCAAGTTATTTGTATATTTCATTTGTTTCTTTTTTTATGTTTTTAAGGTATTTATGTATTACTTTATTCCTCAATAGAAAATTCTGTTAATACGTTTTTTTCGATGTTTGAATCACTGGATCTAACTAACGCCTTTATCCACTCTGCCATGTGTCCTTGAGGACAGTGACAGGACCCAAAGAGTGTGAGTTCAATACCCGGTTAAGGCAGTGGAGAACTTGGAGAGGGGAATTAACAGGAGATAACTGACAACTGTCATCCATTCTACATGACACGTGGAACTAGAACAGTTTACCCCAGTGAGCGAAATAAATGCCGAAAGGTTGTAATAAATATGGCGACAAAGATGAGGACAATAGTCCGAATAATGTAAATGGTGTACATAATACGTCATCTCAGATATGTAGGCTGATCTATTTTCTCAATTTAGTAATTTTCTTTACATTGTTTATTTTAATTTATTTTTAATATAATTTGTTTTAATTCCTTCATGTTTCCTGATATGTTTCTCAAATTCATTTTTTTTCCTAGTGGCGGGATTTTAAGCTAGTTCCGGCATAAACAGAATCCATTATGGAGATATGGACTTGAACTTAAACACTTTTCTAAAATTATGTTGGATTTAGTAACGGAGTAAAACAAATGGATTTTAGCACGTTATTATTTTCACACGTGATTGAAATTTATGATATATCTTCATGTTTTGTAAGAAAACATTTCAACACGTCTTTCTATACAGTTAAAGTTTGGATTTCAAATGTTTTACTTTAAAATTGGAGAGATAGAAAAATAAGACATTTTCGACATTTACAACTCTTCTATCTTAGGCAAAAAAGAAACGTTATACAAATTTTAAAAAATATATTTGCCATTTATGGACATGATGCTATGGCTGAGAGTAATGTTCGCAAGTCGTTCGCTAGGTGGAAATTAATATCTAAAAGACAATGTTGTGACAAGCTGGTGGTCTGCGACGATGACTAAGTCGAAACATTGATTAAAGCGTCAAAGTTCCAAGTCTGTGTTCTCCACATAATTTGTCAGACCTTTCAACCAACTGATGAACATTCATAATTGTTCTCAAATTTAAAATCCTTGATAAACCAATGGCATCGTCGCTTTTACATATAACCCAATGCAACAAAATAAATCCTACGTTACCAGAGGCCGAAACGCGTCTTCCCCTTGTCTCTTTTCATTCATTTTCTTCCTCTAGAGATACACTCTACCTGAAAATAATTATATATATACATATATAACAGAGGAAAGATGTATGTATAGATAAATATCTAACATACGAATGTGTACACACACACACATATATATATATATATATATATATATATATATATATATATAAGAATGGTTCTGACAGTCAGTTATGTGTCATGCGTGATACACGCTTAGGCGATCATCTATCTTTCGATACATGACTGACGAGGCATTAGATTGCCATTTCTCTTGCCATCCAAGGCTATAGAACCCCATCTATTCTGATATTTTCCCATAGCAGGGGGGAGAAGAAGAGGATTCATAACTTTACAAAGTATTTTACCACGTAAGTGAATTTAATGAATTCAACCGGAATTCGAACTTGCCTCTCCGATTCCTCAATCCGCGCCGCTATCCATTACTCCACCATACCTACCATAATCGTAACGTATATACTCGTGTAGAAGATTAGATTTTATGATTAGATTTTCTTTACGTAAAAATTAGAGTGTCGCAGTTTACACAGATTATTATTCTGTAGAGGTAGAAAATCATGAATTTTCGGTTTTGAATTCAGAGTTGTCCTTCTCATAGACTAGTTGCCATCCATTGCTATAGAACCCAGTAGCTGGAGGGAGAAGAAGAGGATTCATATCTTTCCCACGTAAGTGAATATACCAGTTACCATCAAAGGCTATAGAACCATGCCTGCCCTGCTATTTCCCCATAGCCGAGGGGAGAAGAAGAGGATTCATACATTTTCCTAGGGTATTAGGACGTAAGTGAATGTAATTGATTCGATTGGGATTCGAACTCGTCTCTCCGATTCCTTAATCCGAGCCGATATCCATTACTCCACTGTTAGTTTTTTCTGTAATTTTTACAATACCGAAATGATCAAAACCTGCCAGCATCTCTATTACAATTCAATGTAGCCCGTATGCTTTCTTCTTGTTCAATTTGCCTGCTGTTTATTTCACGTCAGACTTAAATATTTCAAGTTCTTCAATATTTCTGCTTATTGAAGGTTATCCTCCTTCGTCGTTGAAGAGTTCTCCACCTCTGAGATTTATGTAGACAAATTGCCATCCAAGGATATAGAACCAGGTCTGTCCTGCTATTTACCCATAGCAGGGCAGAAGAGGATTCATAACTTTCCCAACGGAAGTGAATGTAATGCATTTGACTAGAACTCGAACTCGGTTCTCCGATTTCTCAATTCGAACCGCTATCCATTACGCCACCCTGCTTCCGCATCCGGAAAAGAATCAGTATATTCGTATTCTGTGTCTAATAATGTGTTTAGAGTAGTCATATTTATAAGCCACACAAGAGTAGAGATACATGTCTCTCCTGCTGTTTAATCCAGAGATGGAGAGGGAGAAAAATGATAACATCCTAACAATTGGATATATTGCACTGAATCACTCACCAATTCTACTCTGATCCTGATTAATCGATAAATCATAAAACTGTCTTTTGAACACTACATTCCTTGAAGTTTCGTAATGATACGAGGACGTCGGTTACTGAACCGCTCCTTGGGGAAATAACATTGTCATTGTTTTATGGAAAAAAGTCTCGCTGTGTCGTCAAGTTAAATAAATCATGTTGCTGTTTTGATAGATTCATGTGATCCATTTGTATTCGTGTCTGAAGGAAATTATTTCATGTATCCTGTCTGTCAGCAGTGCGTTCTGTAAGCTTATTGTGGCCCTGTTATGGTGTAAGAGTTCACAAGTACAACGAGAATCTATCTTGACAGACGGGACATATAAACCTTCTGTTGCTGGTGATTTGAACCTCTTAAGGCTTACCTTGCTTCCCAGTGGTCATTGTTTGGTGCAGAAAGATGAAAGGCCAGATGTATATGAACTTATTTCTGGTACACACGAATAACTTCTGGGTACTCTATAACATTCCGCACGATTCATCTTTACACACCCTTATGCATGCATGGGGTAAGTTGGATATATCTCTACGTTCCTTGCAGATTTACTCGGCGGACAAATTATAAGCAACTCCGCTTGGATAGATATATCTACGCTACAAAGCAAATACCTCCACGCGTGCCACCACGCGTAACCTCCATTATACACGCGCTGAAATATTATTACTTTCCAGTTTCTAATTTTCTAGTTCATTATTTTCTTATTCATTGTATTTTACATTATTTTAATGATTTTTATTTTAAATTTTATTTTCTAAGTCATAATAAGGTTCACCAAATAACACCCCTGTCGCGCAAAATGACATGAGGGACCCCGTAATTTGTTCAAACGATTTACTGAGGTCATCGAATTAATGGTTTTCATACTCTCTTAATAAGGTTTAAATATATTTGTTTTATTATTCTTTTAGATTTATATATCAATTTTGCAGTGTTTTAATTTTGTTTTGTATTAATTATTACGTTTTATTCGAAGTGTTCATTCAGAAAAAAAAATCTATTAAATTAGTTTTCCGTATTTTATTACTTATTACTTATTTCTTTTGCTTATACAAGCTTTCTTTCTATCTGATTAATTTCTTTCGTCATTCTTCTTGTACAAATTTCCATCCAATTCCTTGAACTCTTTTACTGATTTTTTGGTATGCTCCTTTACGTCTTGGCTTTTATCAGCCCATTTCTATTCCATCGATTCTTCCACTTTGTTAACGTTTCTGGGTTCACTTTTACCATTCTTCGGCATATTTTCCTTTCTATTTTCATTGATTTTTCTTTTCTCCTTAAGCATTCTCCAAGTAAAATATATTTTATTTATATTTCTTTCCTTCATAGTTCTTTCATTCTTACTCTCCCGCCTCTAGATCTTATTTTCTTCATAGTTTTTATTTATTTATTTCATTTCATAATTTTTTATTTCCTTATTTTATTTTCTCACGTTAACATTTTCTTTCTTTCTTTCTTTCTTTCTTCATTTATTTTTTTTATTAATTTTTTACTCTCTTTCTTTCATTTTTTTTCTTTCTTACTTTTTCTTTCTTACCTTCTTTTTTTACTTTCTCTCTTTCCTACTTTATATCTTTTTCTTTTTCTTTCTTACTTTCTTTCTTTCTTACCTTCTTTCTTTTTAAATTTCTTATTTTTTCTGTTTCTTTCTTCCTTCCTTTATATCTTTCCAGCTTCCTTACTTTCTTTTTTTTCTTTCTTTCTTTCTTTCTTTCTTTCTTTCTTTCTTTCTTTCTTTCTTTCTTTCTTTCTTTCTTAGTTTATTTCTTCATTCTTTCTATCTTCATGTTTTTCTTTCTTTCTTACATTTTCGATCTTTCTTTCTTACTTTTTTCAATCGTTCTTTCTTACTTTTTTCAATCTTTCTTTCTTACTTTTTTCAATCTTTCTTTCTTTCTTTCTTTCTTTCTTTCTTTTATTCTCTTCATTATGTCTTGGCACTCGCCATTTTGCAGTCGTAATGGGGACATTTTGAATTAATTCAATATACTGCAAATTATTTATTTATTTTTTTTTTTGTTATATTTCTACAAACTTTTCGGCCGGCCAACTAGGCGGCCTTCTTCTGAGGTTAATTTAGTGAAACAAATTTCAAATAATAAAAAAAGAACGTAACTCTTCTGTTCAGGGTTTAGTGACAGTTATCGTAAGCAATATACAATATACACAATTATCGAAAGCAATAAATCCAGAAATTAAAATGATGAAACATTTGTGAAAAAAAAAACGTAGTAGAAAGGACAAAAATAAAGTGTCTCAGGTTGTTAATTACTATGATTATGAAATATTACTTCTCACTATTTTGAAGATATTTGAAAGCAATCAGTGTACAGTAAAACAATTCGATTTCCTATTGTTTTCTGCGACTTCTCAAGGCTTTATAAGTACCACTGAATCATAACTTTGCGATAATATTCTAAGAGATTTTGATCTTAAATTGAAAATTTATTTCTATTTTCTTGTATATTCTGTTATACTTCGACCTGAAGATTCTTATTAACCAGAGAAACCCAGCGACATCTTACTCGTTTCTGAACCCATTTTCGTACATGTCGTGCGTCGTGGCAGAGATTAATTGAGTTATTGATTTGTTTTTTAACGGTTTATCAACCACTTGAAAATTATTTAAAACTGAAACATTTTGGTTTGTATAATTAATTCTTTTATTTTTTCAAAATGAATATTGTAAAAACATTTATGCACGAGATAACATTGATGTTCCCAAATACACGTTCCACTATTTAATCCATACCTGGAGGAAGAAGAAATAGATTCATACCTTTACCAATGGTATTTTTGTCTAAGTGAATGTAACGAAGTCGACTTGAATTCGAACTAGTTTTTTACTTCAATAATATCTTTAAGAAAAAAAAAATTTAAAAAAATATAAATAATGAGTATCCCCATCTTATCCAGCATAGAACATGTAGGCTTTTCCATAATTCTGTAGTCTAATGTTAAAAATCTATATCACTATTTTCATAGCAAGTGTTTAGACGAACTATATTGATTAATTCCACCAGTTCAGACATTTAGAGCTATGGCTCTCCATACCACATTCATGGTGTCGAATCATGATCGTACTCTAAGTATTCCATTGGAAGTTCTTATCTTGTGGAATATACTCCCGAGAGGATTCTTCTTCGATCACTCCGAGTTTCACCTCTTATTTCGTCTCGTGATTCTCGTCGCGAACTTTCAGAAATGTCCTGTTAGCATCGAGCGATACTAAATGGATACAAGAATCTGTAGATATATCGCGATTGGCCAACGCGAAATAATACGACAAAATAGAAATTCACATTCCATTAGGTGTTAATATAGTTCATATTGTATACAAACTTTTTATTATATTTATCTCTCTTTCTCTCTCTCACACATACATACACACACACACATTTTCTCAGCTTCTATCCACTTTGCTATTCCTGTGTTTCTTCTTCTTCTTCTTCTTCTTCTTCTTCTTCTTCTTATTATTATTATTATTATTATTATTATTATTATTATTGTACTGTGCGTCGTGTTCCTTCAAGACATTATCTATCATGGCTCTTGACAATTTCATGACCTTTATAGCTCTTTTCCTTATCTTTCACTTTTTTCCGCCATCCATTTACTCAGGTTTACTAGATATATTAAGCGCTATTTTCCTCTATCCTTCTTGCCTTTCTCTCTGTCCTGTGGGTATCAGATTTCTACGCCTTCTTCCTCATTACATTTCCCCTTTACATTTCGACTGTCTCTTTTTGATGTTGAGCATAAATGTTTTTTCCCATCCCCATTTTCTCTAAAACTTCCTGATTGCTCACATATTCAGTCCATGGTATTCTCAGCATCTTTCTCTAGAACCCCATTTCTGTTGCCTCAAGTCGCTTCTTCATCTGTGAGGAGATTGGACACATTACATTCTACTTCATTCCATTTCTCTGTTTGCATTTTTCCAACATCAGAGACCCTTCTTTCTTTTAGTTCTTTTAGTTTAAATTCCATTTGTATTTCTTTTCTCCACATCAACAATTACTTCTTCTTCTTCTTCTTCTTCTTCTTCTTCTTCTTCTTCTTCTTCTTCTTCTCCTCATCCCTATCCTTTCTACCTCTTCGTAAGTTTTCACGGTTTGCTATCCCTCCTAATTCCTGTTATACCAAACATTTTATTCGTTCGCTAAGCTATTCGCTCTTTTCCTATGTCACACTTGTCTAAAGTATAGAGTGTGAATATCAAATTTGCCAAGCCTTCCTTTCTCATTATGTGCCTCGAAGTAGCAACTGTCTTTTAAAACTTCCTCCTCATTTACATGTAAAGTTTATTTTTTAATTGATTGATTTTTATAGTTTTCTTAAATGAGCGTTCGTAAGTCAAAACAGGACGACGTGTAATCTTTCTTCTGCTGTCGTGAAAAACTGAAATCTCGAAATAAACAAATTTTCCTAAAACAGCAATGTTAATAACAGCTTTATTGCCAACGGATTTATTTAATATAAATATTTAAAGCCTGAAACTAAAGAATAGGATACATCTTCTGTAGAAACAAGAAATAATAGTAATAAAAGCAACTAATGCAAAACTGTTAATTTACGGACATTACAAGGAAGACGAATGATCACAGTTATCTATAAAGTTGGATATTCGCCCGTTTGCAAATCTTTATTTAAAAACACTACGAATTGCCTTCATACAAATCAAAGCCGATATTTACCCGGCCTCCCCACGAGACACGATGTGACACATGGCCGATTTTTATGTGGGGCGACCCGAGCCCGAATCACCGTAGAGTCCGCATACAAGGGGTCAGGTTTGTCTACTTCCCCAGGATAGACGCTGCACTTCGTCGAAGCCTCGTCTGGGTTGCTCTCTTCCCGAGGGCAAAGAGGTCGACAAGCAGAGCAATCCAAACTCAGAGGCTTGACGCACTCTGGAAGCCGGAAATCATCCCGAACTCCCCATGGGTAGGATGTGGCAAAAGGTCGGTTTTTTACGTGGGTCGTTTCGACCACATAGCTTCAGGTAGAAATTCCCCGTAAACCACGCATACAAGGAGTCGGATTTGTCTACCTCCCCAGATGATACTCTGCCCTTCGGCAATGCCTCGTCTGGGTTCATCTCTGCCCGAAAGCAGAGAGTTCGACGTTTTGAACTTGCTCAAGACTAACCTGGAATGCAAGCGGTATTTACTCGCACTATCCACTGAGCGCGGTTTGACACAAGACTGGCTTTACGTGAGTCTTTCTGAACCCGTAGTTTCGGGCAAAAATTCCCCGTAGACGCCGTATACCCGGGGTCAGTTTTGTGTACCTCCCGAGACGAGACTTTGCCCTTCGGCATAGCCTTGTCTGGACTCCTCTCTGTCCGAAGGCAGCGAATTCAATGTCTTGATGCTTGCTGAGACCAACATCTTTATTTCTATGCGCCGTGTCCTTTCAGGACATAGACGATCATATCACTCCACCTCCCTCTATCCCTTGCAACTTTCAACAAGTTCCTTCCCCCAGACCTCGTTCTGTCATCCACTTGCTTAAGGCCGTTGTTTTTCCTTGTGACTCTTTTCTCCTCTATTCGGCATGTGAGTATCAAAATCTCCCGTTCCTCCTTCCTCATTGTGTGTCCCAAGAACTTCAGCTGCCTCTTCCTGATGTTAAGCCTCCTCCTTGTTTGCATCCTCTCTAAGACCTCATCATTGCTCACACACTCGGTCATTGATATCCTCAGCATCCTTCTATAGACCCGCATCTCCATCGTCTCGGGTCTCTTCTTCATCTTAGAGGAAATCGTCCAACATTCGCTGCTTCTTCCTGATGTTAAGTATAAGCCTCCTCCTTGTTTGCATCCTCTCCAAGACCTCATCTTTGGTCACACATTCGGCCATTGATATCCTCAGCATCTTTCTACAGAACCACATTTCCGTTGTCTCGGGTCTCTACTTCATAATTGAAGAAATCGTCCAACATTTTATGCCGTAAAGACATTCGTATTATCATTATTATCCACCTCCCAAGACGAGACTCTGCCTTTAGGCATAGCCTTGTCTTGGTTCCTTTCATAATATTACACTATTTTATTTATTAATTAATTATATAATGATTGCCTTATAGCTTATAGTTCTTTTTATTTTCCTTTGATATTTCTCTTTTTTACGTCTTTCTCATTCTTTTGCTATCTTCTTCTATTCATTCTTTTCGACTTTTTTCCTCTCCGGCATTTTATTGCTTTATATATTGAAGTCCATATTTTTTATTCTTCTTATCCCTTCTTTAATTCCCTCATAAAAGAGAAGATGAAAGAATAGAAATCGATGGGAGGCTATGAGAAAGAATTAAAATATAACTATAAAATGACGGTAATATGAGACGTAATAATGATATAAACATTGTTTTTAAAGTGTAATAAAACAAAACGCGGCTTACAAATCCATTTAAATATTAAGAACTTTGAACGGGAAAATATTCGTCAACTTTCTGCTGTTCCGTTTTTATTTGTCTTCTCAGTTTCAAATGTCCCGTCATGCAATTGAAGCGTTATATCACGGGGCTATGCAATGGCATATTTTCTGATCAAACCAAAGCAGGAATGACAAGAAAAACTGAAATATTAAATTTTGGCTTTAAAAGAATTCGGCTGATTCTAAAAAATAAATAAATAAATAAATAAAATAAAAAAACGGATCGTTAATATGAAAAACACTCAAAGAAAGAAGGAAAAAAAACTCCAAATAAATTATAATCAAATTAAAAAAAACAAAAACAAAAAAACCTGCAACCTTGGCAGAACAAAATATAATGATGGTGTCGCACGATAAGGAATAGTGTTCACGTTGGTATAGGCTATCACTAATGTCTAATTATATTTACAAAAGGAATAGACCCAAATCGATCAAACAATAAAAATATTAATTTAAAAGGATCCGTGTTGGAAAATAATAAAGATGATGGTGTCGGTTATATTACTCAAATAAAATTTTCTCCTAGGAAAGAAAAGAAACAATAAAGAAAGAAAATAAAATAAAAGAAAGAAAGAGAAGCAAAATTTCTTTTGCAATCGATCAGGGAAAGTGAATTTTGCTCAAAAAGTTTAACGTAACGAAAAAATAATTGAATGGCAATTTATAAATATAGGAACAAAAACAAATGCTGAAATATGTCACATGTTTTTAATGCGTTCATTTCAAGTCTGAAACTAGTTCTTTCTTCTAAATTCTGTTATATATTCTGAAGTGTGAATAATAAACCAACATCAACAGGACACAATGCAGAGTGGATAAAGGCGTTGGTTACATCCAGTGACAGGACCCAAAGAGTGTGAGTTCAATAACTGGTTAAGGCACTGGAGAACTTGGAGAGGACAATTAACAGAAGATAACTGACAACTAACATCCATTAGACATGGCACGTGGAACAAGAACAGTCTACCCCAGTGAGCGAAATAAAGGCTTCAGTTCGACATTCCAACCACCTGAAGAAGGCCGGAGCGTACAACGGCCAAAATGTTGTAATAAATATGGCGACAAAGATGAGGACAATAGTCCGAATAATATAAAAAGTGCACATAATACCTCATCTCAGAAATACAGACAGATTTAATTTTGCATCAACTTTGATTTATTGACATCATAGATACACTCATTGCAATACTGCAATATTTACGACTACATAATTAAGAAAGAACAAAGTTCAATTTTTTTCTTCTGAATATACACGCTTCTTACATATAAAATACATATACAGTCGCAGAGTTTGAGGGTTTTAAAGAAGGGGTTATTAGAAGATTATTATCCCAATTTCCGGACAGAGAGAATCGCACAAAGAAACAAATGTACTTAACACCATTGAGAAATTTTAACTTTAAAGAAGCTTAAATTGAGTAACATAATTATAGACATAGTTTGGATAGTAATATATTCACAATACTTGAAGCTAACTATCTATCTATCTATCTATCTATCTATCTATATATATATATATATATACCTATACACACAAAATGATGTATATATATATATATATATATATATATATATATATAGTGTTGACTTCAATGTTCACTTTTATATTAATATTTATATAAGCGTTATATCTGATGTTGAGTAATTTATCCATAAATATAGCAAACCTTGAAACTTTATTTCGTCATATATATATATATATATATATATATATATATATATATATATATGTTTAAATCTTAAGTTTTGGGATCTTAGCGATATGTCATTTTTATACCTAAAAGTAATTTTTGGAAGAATTATGTATAAAATTTACGTGTGAAGACTTTCGGCCGATGAAATACTAAAGCACTAAACGCCACACACACACACACACGTACACACACACACACACACACACATACATATATAGATAGATAGATAGATAGATAGATAGATAGATAGATAGATATAAGTAAGTGAATATTGAAGTCAAAACACAGCAGCGACAGTCAATTTCATGCTAAATGCCATCATCAGCCTATGGACATGAAAGAGATTGTCCCATCTGCGTGTTGATTTGAATGACCACTTTTAGAATAGCATGTGCTCTATCCCTTATATTGAACACTATAACCCATAATTATAACATTATATATATATATATATATATATATATATATATATATATATATATATATATATATATATATGTATAAATAAAGAGAGTTCGTATATATAAATTGTTATTAAAAGTTTAGAAAAATTGAAGACATGGATATATAATTATAACTATCGATTATTAGCACTATGGTCCCCTATCCTTATACACACACACACACACACACACACACACACACACACACACACACACATATATATATATATATATATATATATATATATATATATAAATTTTGAATAAAATCATTATTTCTACTGAATAAATATGTAACATAGGATTTTGTTTCAATTTTCTTTTTCAATCACGCGCAGTAAATACTGCAGACGATGGTTAATATACCCGTATACACTATAGTATTATGTTGTTAATCTAGGTACAAATCCAGGAAATATACAGCATTTGTTAAGCATGAGTCTATCATATAGAAATCTTGGCCTTACGTTTGCTCTTAAGTGGATCACAAAAGGGTATTCTTTATATCTTGAATATCATTTTTTTTTTTTTTGAATAGATTTTTTTTTTATATGACACAAAATTAGTAGAAATAAATGTCTTTGTTTCTGGATATAGTGATTTCGTCAGATAAACGAAATTTACGGCCGAACACGCGAAAAGAACAAATTATATTTTCGAATTTACATGGAAATCAACGTATTTGAATAACCCGTTATAAGAATTTTGCATGGAAAGATAGATAGATAGATAGATAGATAGATAGATAGATAGATAGATATGTGACGTCGTCCCCCGGTCGCAGCGTCGACTGTGTCGTTCGATCCCGTTCGCGGCGCCAATTGTGACGTCACGTGCTTCCCAGGCTCTGATATCCTGGTCACGGACAGCACCAGTTGTGACGTCTTTTGTCGCGGCGTCAGCTGTTCGCTCCTCGCTGCTCCAAACGTGACGTTCTAACCCTTTGGTTAGATTGATACCAGCCTCATCGTTCCCAACCTGCTTCCAACGCCTGGTTACCAGGGTAACTGCACTGATCTCCGGTCTGCCTACCCACGTTGTGACTTGATCTTAGACAGATGAGATCAAACAGGGCTTGGGGCCGCAATGATAACACACAATTATGTATAATAAAAAGAAATAAAATAACAACTCACAAGGTCCAACGTATCAAGAAAAAGGTAACACACTTTTATGTCTATTTGCTCGGTACATAGGACTATGTCTACCTCCCGACCCGTTCTGTGGATTGTGGCACAACGCTTTTACTAGGCAACTTTAAGGCTTCTAGTTGTCTGCTCTCTTAGAAATTTGCGTTTCGCTGTGTCTTTGGACGAAAGTCGAAAAAAACTTATTTCTTGTGGTCTGATTCTAAGTCGCTCTTCAAACTACTTGTTCTTGGTTGAAGAAGAGTCTAGAAGTGTGCGTGAATCTTGGTTAGCTATCTTGATGCGGTTTCAACACTGGGCGCTGATCTCTGCTTGTCGTTCACGGCTGATCTCTCTCGCCGTCCGCGGCGCAAACTCTCCTCTTCAGAGTCTGAATTATTGGTCACTCATCTCTGCCGTCAGTGCGCGAATTAACTTCTTCTCTTCAGCTTGCTCTGATTCCAACTTCTCCACTTAGGCCAAACAGGCTGCTTCACTTCGGCTTCTCTTGCCCGCAAAGGGACGAATAAACCGGGCCCCGTCCGCGCTCAGACTCCCCTCGCCGCGCGGCGCAAAAACTCTCTGATTTCTGTCGGTTGGGGTCCCTTTTTATTGACGCAGTCAAAAACTGGGGTGGGTCTGTCGGCGTCAGGGTTTTCTTGATAATTCTAAATACGCATCCACCCTTCTTATTTCTGGTTAGGGATTTTCCATTTTCGCTAATTCACTTTCACTCCTACTTCCTTATTGTGTCTCTGAGGGCGTATACCCGCTTCTTCTTATCGGCTCCTCACACTTACACCTCTGACAGGGGCGTCGACCGATTCTCCTCGTGCGTCACGTGGCCGCTCTCGGTCAATGAGGTCCTGGTCGGGTATTTTTCCTCCTCCTTCGTGCGCCACGTGATCCCATCTAGCCAATGGCGTCTTTAGTCGGGCGTGGACAATCCGTGGCTTTGTTCTGGGGGAAGAAACACCTTGCTTAAAAAAATAAAAAATTCAAATTGCCCTTTTCGTACGTGACCGAAATGACGCTCTCGGTTTTTTTACACGCGGTATTTGTCAAACAGTTTATCGCTAATTGGATACGATCTAAGAAAGGGATTTCCCAGACTGGGTGGCGTTTTCGTGAACGAATGAAAATATTTCACCTTTTCCTTCGCTCGAAGCTTGATAACAAAAATCTTAATTATCTCAAAAAAACATTTTTAGCCAACATCATCTTGTGTGGCTTTATTTTCAATTCTGGAATTGTCTGTGCTGTTCGTATTAAGGGTTTGTCTTCATATCCTTAGATAAACTTCCCACCTGTTACCTATCATATTTTTTTCCATTGTCTCTAAACTTTATTTCTTCAACCAAATTGATAACAAAGTTCCATTTTTCGTGGACACGGAAGTAGGTCAGGTGCTTGACCGGGATACCTTCCAACATCTGTTATGGATCAATCGAGTGTGTGTGTGTTCGCTTATGACCTGGTTTTCGTATTATATTTTTTCTTTCTTTTTCTTCTTCTTCTCTTTCTTTCTCCCAGATCGCTTGAACGCAATTAAAGAATTATTCTCAAAACCCAAATATTTTTCAGCTCTAAATAATTATCAAATGGTTGACAAACCGTAAAAAACAAATCATATTTTTATGAATATTTCTTTTCAGCCTGCCAACTTATGCATGGTGCCACAGATAGATAGATAGATAGATAGATAGATAGATAGATAGATAGATAGATAGATAGAAAAGACCAATTAATGTAAAGGCTGAGAGAGGTAACATTGACATAACCAGCATGCATAGATTAAGTGCAGATTATGTGATATTAAGAAATAGATGATGGTGTTGGTAGGGAAATCAGGTATATGGGAATATACTGGTAAGATAGATAGATAGATAGATAGATAGATAGATAGATAGATAGAATGAATAACAAAATATAAAATCAAGCACGGAATGTGGATTCTTCTGTGTATGAAGAATATATTGTCTACAACGGACAAGTAATTCGTAAAAAAGTAAATAAGAAATAGATTAAAAAATCAATCGTTGGTAAATATTTTCTCGTCTACTGAGTTTTATGATTGTTAATGCATTGCCTCGTCATTTTTGTTGCTTCTCTCTGTGGACGGTTGTAAAGGAATACGAGCCTCAGCCAACCATCTAAAAATGGATGCAACACTTTGAGGCCTCAGAGAATTGAAACTCTTGCTTATATATCGATATACAGTTGTCAATGGATGCCAAAACATATACATGCATACGCCTAAATGAATCTTCTTGTGTATCTGTAGTGTGTGTGTGTGTGTGTGTGTGTGAAGATTTGTTTACTCATATGTGAATGACAAAACATGCAGAGCATCACATATGATTTTCCCAAACGACTGAAAATTTATATACATAGGCACACACGCACACACAAATGCGCGCACACACAAATGCGCGCACACACAAATGCGCGCACACACACATAAACGGACACACACACATATATATATGTCTGTCTGGGAGTATCGAAATGAACTTTTGGTCTACACTTTTTTATTTCGTTCTACAGATACATTTACTTTCTTCAGTTTTCATTTCTTCCTTTATATATATATATATACACACACACACACACACACACACATATATATATATATATATATATATATATATATATATATATATATATAAGAAAGTGTAGACTTTAGAATATTTAATATTTAATTGCGCAAAACTGATACTACGGTTTCATCTCCTCAGACCGAACCGTTTCAACAATAAAAGGATTCAATATCTATCTATCTATCTATCTATCTATCTATCTATATCTATCTATCTATGTTTATGCGTGTATGTGTTTGTGTGTGCCTATCACGTCTATCGATCTGCGCACTCGTGAAGAATATCTATCTATCTATCTATCTATCTATCTATCTATCTATATATATATATATATATATATATATATATATATATATACTTTAAAATTAATAGATCATTTTATCTGGCTACCTTGTTTTACACCTAACGGTGTTCTAAGGTGATTTGTATCAATTTACCACACAATGCTTTATATTTAAAAGAATAAACGCTATATTAACGGCGTTGGTTAGAAGAAGAAGAAGAAGAAGAAGAAGAAGAAGAAGAAGAAGAAGAACATGATGATGATGAAGAAGAAGAAGAAGAAAAACATGATGATGATGATGATGATAAAGAAGAAGAAGAAAAACATGATGATGATGATGATGATAAAGAAGAAGAAGAAGAAAAACATGATGATGATGATGATAAAGAAGAAGAAGAAGAAAAACATGATGATAAAGAAGAAGAAGAAGAAGAAGAAGAAAAAGAAAAAGAAGAAGAACATGATGATGATGATGATGATGATATTAAAGAAGAAGAAGAAGAAAAAGAAGAAGAAGAAGAAGAAGAAGAAGAAGAAGAAGAAGAAGAAGAAGAAGAAGAAGGATATTATAAATTTACCGGTGATGGGTAATTGAAATGTACAAACTTTTTTTAAACCAGCCTCAACTGAAATTTGTTTGCATGAATGCATCGGCTCATTATTTTGAATTTCTGGTTCAAATGGTTTTTGGGATCCGGATATGTCATCATTGCTAATTTTTCCTGTTAGTAGTCGTTAAAAATTTATGCTGGTTGTTGAATAATTTGCCTTTTTAAAAAAATTTCCATCTTACAATCGGATTCCTGCTGTTTTCTTCTTTTAAATTCCACACTTGTTTAGCAAGTTCGGCAGCGCTTCTAAGACTTATTAGTTTGAATGACGACATATGATTGTACCATTTTCTTTTGAAAGAACCTTCAGTACATCCTATGTACGTTTTTTTTTTTTCTGACTATTATTATCTATAAATTCTGCTTTATAGATTATTACTTCGGTTTTACAAGTTCTATCTAATGGACGTCGTCTCTTCGTATTTCTACGTTTAGTAGTTTTGACATTTCTGGCGTTTTGTCTATTTATTATTGTTTCTCAATTTTTAGTGCAGGTTAATTTGAGTTTGGTTTTGTTAAGAATCTTATATAATTCTGAATTTTTTGGGAGGTATTTAGCTAGTAATTTGAAAAATAACTTCCCTTTTACCTCTAAATTAAAAGTTAAACCAAATAGTTTTCCTTTTCCTCGAACTTTTCTTCATATGTTTTTTAATTTGAGGCTTAAATTCTACTTTAGTTTTGGGATCCTCTACCTTTACATTGTTCTCATATTCTTTCAGAAATTATTTTACTGGAAAAATTTCTGGATAACTAAACTCTTTTCCATTAGGGATGTGTTTTATTAGGTTCGCCGCGTTGTTAGATCTATTATTCAAGTACTTTAATTTGCACTGGGGTTCATGTATGGGGAGACACTGACAGTATGTAAATTTAATTCAACGTCCAGAAATGTTACAACATTGTTATTCATTTCGAATTATATTTCAAAGCCGAGGCTTTTGCAGAGCTTGAGAAGCGTTTTTCTTTTATATTGTCATTTGTTCTTCTGTTGTCTGACGCTGTTATTAGGCCGTCATCCCTATAAAGACCGTGGTTGTTTATATGTACAATTTTGTTAATTTCATATAAGAAAAGCCCAGCACCATCAAACAAAGCTTGTGGTACATCGAAACCGTCTTGTTTTCCGTTTCTTAACGCAGATTACTTCATTGTGAAATAAAATTGATTTCCATCAATGCAATTTTTTTCTGTTTGAGCAGGTGTAATGTTTACGTGTTTTATGTTATGTTTGGTGTAGCACAAAGCTTACAGTAGACCTTTTCCAGATATAGATGGATAAAAGATTTTAAAGCCGTATTTTATTAATACGTTGTTTTTATTTGTAATTTTGTGTAACCAAGAAATGCACTCACTTTGTCCTTCGATTGATTGGCCTGTGTGGCAAACCTTAATAAATTGCATATTTTTTTACAATATTTCTTGGCTTATTTTACCTAATTCAGTTTTAGTTGGTTTTATTAATTGAAAAGAAGGGTTATTGGGAAATTTAGCTTTATGATTGTTTATGTTTAGAAATACTTACTTGCAAATAATGTATGGATCCTGTCGCTTACACATAGTTTGGCTGGGATATATTTCGCCTCTGCGTTTATGCCTTTAATGTACGTGTCTGGTGCTTTTTTGTAAATTTTAGTGATTCGCTTATTTTTATCAGTAATCCCCCGCTTTCATGGTATACATGTTCTTTGTTTATATATATATATATATATATATATATATATATATATATATATATATATATATATATATAAAGAACGAAAATCTTGGTAATCCGTATGGATAATGCCAAGGAGGATGAAATCCTGAGAGCTCAAAAACCCTATATACATCTCTTATATCTTATCCCTTTACTTCCTTTTCCACTTTTTCTTTTCTACTTTTTCTCATTTCACTTCCGTTGAGTTCATCGATTAAATTAGTCAATATCTGATCCTTACCCCCTCCTCCTCAATATTAAGTATTGTAATAAAAATAAAAAATAAATTTTAAAACTCTACCTTCACTCTCTAAACTCAACCATGTCTCTCACACCTCCCTCTATGTCAACTTACATAAGCATAATACTGCCCGTCAAAAGTGTAAATTTTAAATTCATTTTTCGTTTCATCTTTGAAAGTGAATTTTGAAGATCCAGAAAAAAATAAAATCCTCTGGTGAAATAAATTATAACTAATGGAAGCATAATGTGGTCTGTTTTTCTTTAAATGATATATATATATATATATATATATATATATATATATATATATATATATATATAGAGAGAGAGAGAGAGAGAGAGAGAGAGAGAGAGAGAGAGAGAATCAAATGAACATTTTACAAATTTTAGGGGCGAGTTAACCTCACCAATACAAGGACAAAGGTTCCTATAAATATATGTAATCAAATCCTTCATTATTTAATAATTAAGTTTAAAGATTATAGTAGATGTTATATGTACAATACAAAATACAATTAAAAAATACTTTTAAATCTTTGAAGGCGGTTTCCTGACTCCAAAACCAGGTAAAAAGTCCATATAAACATATGTTTAAAAGGACATCGTTATATCACAACACAGCAACTCATAACAAATCTTCAAAATGTCCTCCCCTTGCTTCTACACGTGCATGCAACCCGTCGCTCCACTGAGTCGTGGACCCTTTTAAATATTCCTAAAGTGTGCCGAATGGTTTCGCAGGCCCCACATGACACGTTGATGAAGCGTCTCTTCATTATTAATGTCTGCTGCATAAACAGACTGGTTTAGGTGCTCCCACAGATAAAAATCCAAACGATTGAGTTTGGGGGAAGGTGAAGGCCATGGAACTGGTCCTGTCCTAACTATCCATCTTTCATGGTAGATGTCAGCCATTGTATCGCGAACAATGTCACTGGATGCCCATCATACATGAACCACATGCGTCTTAGTATTAGAAAGGGAACATCCTCGAGCAGGTCCGATCCCCTCACAGATGTTGGTCGTGTAAATTGTTATTCCATCTCTTCCAAACTATGAATCATCCGTAAACACGACCGAAGAGACAAAAAAACGGATTGGCAGTTTGTGCAATGAACAATCGGCAATGTGGAATGATCAGAGGTCGAAAGACCCTGCATATGTTGCATATCATACGGATATAGGAATCTCTCTTGAAGTATACTCCATGCGATACTAAGAGATATACTGGGTGTCCGGTGTACGAGTGGATATCGGTTTTCCTTAATTCACAGTATGTGATTTCAAGCATCCTATCTTAGTAAAGCAACGATAAACAACAGAAAAGGTTGGGTGACTCGATTGCCTTAGGTATGTAAACGCAATCTGATGCAGTCGTGCATCCTCGTGCATTCATTTATCTGATGTCGATTTCCTCCATTCCACAATGGTGAATTTCAAAGCGTATATCGGGTTGTGGCACAAAGCCAAAATTATGAGGAAACCAGTGAAGATCAAACTCACTGCTTCACTAATTCTTCTATCGAGACAAACTTGAGACAAGCATCCTAACCATTATACAACGTCCAGGTGTCCTGTTCAATTCCACAATGGAGGGAAAGCAATTCATTTGTTCATTTCTCTTTTCAAACAAATCAAAACTTGATAATTAAGTTGATATTCTCCTGAAATATATAGAATATGATGTTCGAAATAGAAAGGGAATTGGCGTTTAAAACGATATTTTAAAAGAAAAACAATTTGGAAAAGATTTCCCAAAGAACATGATAAGCATTAAAGGTATTCTTAATTCTCTCTTCCACTTAAGGAAACTTCCTGGTAAATCAAGCTCACATTTATTAAAGAGAGCTGGCAAGCACACACACATATAGACATACACACAGACATACATGCATATATATATATATATATGTATGTATATACACGCACACATACATGCATACAAGGTGTATCAAAATTAATTTTACAATATTTGGTGGCGGATTCCTCAAACCAAAACAATGAAAAAAGTTCATAGAAATATTTGTCAGCAAATACTTCGTTTTTGAGTTAAAGGAGTTTTACCGTAGATGGCGCTCTGTTGCCATATGGACTTGGTTACATTTGTTATTCATGTTCATTTGTGGCTTGTCTGACTTCAACCTTTAAACTATGTAGCCGTGAGTTAACTGAGTTCCTTTTAGCAATGGCAAGATATTCAGATCGTGAACAGGCAAATATAATATTTACATACGGCCGCACGAACGCTAATCGAGGATGAATTTTGTATAAGGTTCTTAATTCTGCATTCATCCTGTTTATAATTTTCGCTCTGCGTTTTTTAAAAAAATATTAATGTTATTGTTTATGTTTCTATTCTCGCGGTTGTTGTTAGAATATTGATATATATATATATATATATATATATATATATATATATATATATATATATATATATATACATAATTACAGTCTTTATGAATCCTGATCAAATTGAGGTTGAATCTTGATCGCATAGTGCAATCGCCCTGCTTGGACGACATTCCTAAATATTCACAAGAATATTAAGCGGTCACACACCGAAATCAAACACTACACTTCACTGTTCATTTCTGTCACGATCAGTTGCCTATTATTAATGTATAGACAATATATTCTTCGTAACACGAGTTTACAGGAATTAATACACATTCTGATGCCTAGGTTTATACGCATACTGTCTATCTATTTATTTATATATCTATCTGTCTGTGTGTGCTTGTGTATACGTGTGTCTGTGTGTACGAGTGTGTATTTGGATATGAATATGCTTCCCAAAATGTCACAGCATCTGCCAAATTAATGAATACATACTTTCCCGTGTTTCGACAGAATTTCGCTCATCTGGCAGAATCACTCTTCTAACAGTCAAAAACTTACATTTCTTTTTCTTTTTTTTCATTTATATGTTAGGGAAATATTTATAGAATTATAGTTCTAATAATACCAAGGATTTAATAAATTATATCGTCAATTTTGATGATACGGTGAATTTATTATCATTATTATTATTATTATTATTATTATTATTATTATTATTAGAAATAGTATTATTATTATTATTATTAGTATTATTATTATTATTATTATTATTAGTAGTAGTAGTAGTAGTAGTAGTAGTAAGTTCTATTACCCACCTAAAGCGTTGCCATTTTTCACAGAATGGAGAAACGAAATATATACTGGCAAAGCGAATGATGAAATTTTATTTGGTAATTTTGCTTTGTTGATTTACTTTCTTGAATCTCTCTCTGATATATTATTACCTCTTTCAAGATTTTCCAAATTCTTCAGTGCTAAATATATAGTTTATACATTCGGTTACAGGTGAAAATCTGATGTTTATTATTCGGAAAAGTTTTCTTACAAAAGATAGGAATAATGATAGATATTCAATGTTTATTCAAATATTAAAATAATGTGTAATATTTGCTCTATCTGTTCACAGTTGAAAGGTAAATTGACAAAATTTTATCAGTTGTTTACTTCCAATATATTTATTTCTGCAAATTTATAAGCAATCAAGTGAGTGGGTGAGAATTTTAAAGATATAATATAGGAGTTACTTTAATGATGATTTGTTATTAATAAGTTGGATTAAAAATATTTCATTATTTTAAAATCATCGCTTCTTCATCTGAAATTGCAACGGTGTTCAGGAAGTTATCTCTATTAAAAATTTCTCGTTTAATTAATCTATCTATTTATCTATCTATCTATCTATCTATTAAAAATATCTATCTATTATCTTCTCATCCCTCATTATCTTCTTCTATCTATCTATCTATCTATCTATCTATCTATCTACTGTCTCAGTCCCTTCATTATCTATCTATCTATCTATTATCTATCTATCTATCTAATCTATCTATCTATCTATCTATCTATCTGTCTCAGAAAAATCTATCTATCTATCTATATCTATCTATTCTCAGTCCTTCATTATCTATCTATTATCTATCTATCTATCTATCTATTATCTATCTATCTATCTATCTATTTCATTATCTATCTATCTATATCTATCTATCTATCTATCTATCTATCTGTCTCAGTCCCTTCATTCTATCTATCTATCTATCTATCTATCTATCTATCTATCTATCTATCTATCTATCTATCTATCTATCTATCTATCTATCTATCTATCTATCTATCTATCTGTCTCAGTCCCTTCATTTATCTAATATCTATCTATCTATCTATCTATCTATCTATCTATCTATGTTAATATCTGCCTGTCTGTCTATCTCATTATATTTATTTAAATATATCTATCTATATATGTATGTCAATGTATTTCTTTACTATCTAAATATCTATTTCCACACACATATGGATATGGTTTTCAGTCACTTTTCAAATGTGACTGAAAACCATATCACACGTTGACCCAATACTTGTGAGTGAAATTAGGTAGACACTATCACTGGGGGTCGTTGATACCTCTGCTAGCATGAAGTGACATATCATTGCGACCAAGGATTTGAGCATGTTGGCCTTGGTCAGATTGTTGATCACGCTACATGCCCCCGCAACAAAAAGAATTAGACGACTTCGAGAAAGATTTAACTGACCTAGTTGGAAATATAAAATTCCATAAAAAACAAGATGCATTTAAAAAAAAAGACTAAAAGAAGATATAACTAAAAAACGATAACCTTGAATTTCTGGGTATATACAAAAATTAGCAGAAGAAAGAAAATTATCGAAACGTAGATTTAACGATCATTGCCTAATGAAGATGAAACGAAGAAACACACAAAGAAAACAAGTAAGTTTTTGTAGAGATATGATGTTAGAATATTTCTAACATAATTGGGGTGGGAAAATATCAACAGAAAAATGATAAAATATGACCTTAAAAAAATACAATTTTGAATGCATCTCGCCAAAGTGACATTACTTTTCCCCAAAGATCTAGGCTAGATTTATATAATGAATTTCATTTCACATAAGAGAGCGTGAAAAAACAACTGGAAAAATTAAGCATGTGACTCCATAGTAAAAAGCATAAGTAAAGAGAAACCATAGTAGTGAGTGGATGGGAGATAGAAAAAGACGAGACGAGGGAAGAAATGAGGGTAAGTTTTTGTCAGTAAAAGGAAAATGACGTCTGTTATTAAGTGAAGGCAACAAAGAAACATGGCGGAGGAATAATAAAGGGAGGTAATAATTAAAAAAAAACATACGAAATAAATCGAAACGATAAAGAAGGGAATTAATAAAATAAAACCGAGTGAAAAATATGACAGAAAGCTTCAAAAAATGAAAAATTAACTAAAATTGACGTAAATTAAAATTCATTCAATTACATCTCTTTCTCATTCGTTTATTCTGGTAGAAAAGTTCAAGAATAAGCCAAAAAAAATAAATAAAAATAAAAAAGAAGGTATATAAAACAATAATTTCTTATGACATTAGATGGCTGGTGGGAGGCACGATGGTATTTCAGACATGTATTTTGTGTTTAACTTTTTTTTTCCAGTATTAATTAATATCGCCTATTTATGAACATACAATTACTAATTATACTCCCCTATCGTTAAAAAAAAGCAATAGGCAAAACAAGTAATGTAGAGAAAAATTAAAAACAAAGACATTTTTTTAAGCGTTTCACCCTAAGCAAGGCTGGAAGCCACTAGTATGCAAGGGGTTACAGAGAGTTGGAGCGAGAGAAACGAGGAATCATAGAGGAAAGGAAGAAGAGAAGGATAGGGGATAGATCAAGATATCTGGAGACGTCGATTGACATTACATTTGAATAGTTGGAAATTATAGCTATTAGGGAAACAGGAAGAGGGAATGGAGTTCCAAGTGTGTGACATGAAGAGATTGGAGTAGAAAAGACGGTTAAATTTAACAGTTTTGACAGTGAAAGTTTGACAGCGAGATGCCAGATTAGTAGAACGCTTAAATTCATGAAGTCTGGGAACCAGCGAAAGGAATAATCAAGTAGTTTAAAACATTTACTCCCAGATATTGTAGCTTTCATTGCCTTTAGAGTAAGAAATATATTATGAAAGGGAAGGCGTCTACTTTGACATGTTTCTTGAATAAATGCTATCACTGATATCATGAAATTATTCTATCAGTTATGTCCCTAAAAATCAAGCGTTTTCAGGGCTATCCACAACCTCCTATACGTTGTACTTCTTAACAATGTTTATTTCATTTACAATTCCGCCAACACCCCATCTTTTCACATCGGCTAGTCAGGAAGAAGAGGCGCTGAGTTCTCCTGCCCCTTCTGTTTTCAGTATGTCATGTGCGTGTCAGATTCTCCAAGCCCTCCTGCCTCGTTATTCCTCCGGCACATATCAGCTGTTTTCTTATGATTCTCAGTATAAGTTTGTTTTTTTTTTGTTTCAATTTCGCTTTGTTGCTTATACGCAATTTCCATTGCATTCTCGGCATCCTTCTGTAGAATCACATTCTTTTGTTTTTACTTTTCTCTTTAACTGCATTATTATTATTATTATTATTTTAAAAAAAAAATTGATATGGATATTTTTTGATCAAAGATTGGTTCGTACCAATAACGGACCAAGCGAAGGATTAGCTTTTTTGTTGCTTCTACCTAATTCTACAAAACACAACAATTATTGTCGATGCTGTTTCATACATTAGCTTATGGAATTCTGAAAGTTTGGGAAGGTCTAACAAAGAGAGTAATTACAGTGCTAGTGATAACGGGAGAAATGGGATGTTGGAGAAAAAAGATAGAAAAATTCTTGCAGATATTGGATTTTGATTTTGAAAAAATCATTCCAAACCGATTGCCTGCTCGGAACAGCGACGATACAATCTGATGATGAAAAGAAGCAGTGATCGGATTATATGCTTAAATCACGAGCGGTGACCGGCAAATAAACTTCTTAACAATAAGCTGTGAATAATAATAATAATAAATAAATAAATAAATAAATAAATAAATACGAAAAATTGTTCGCACGAGTACAGCTCACACCTTACGAAATGCTTTAACATTGTAAAATATGGGTGATTGAATTTTTGTTTTCTTTTTTTCAAAATTGCTCAGTGGAAAATATCATGATGCTATTTCTGATCATAGGTGTCTGCTAAAGACCCGGAAAGAAATGAGTACACACCAGAAATCAAAGTAAATAATACTAATAATACTGCTAATAATAATAATAATAATAATAATAATATACAGACTGTGAATCTTAATTCATATGAGATTCATGTGGGGAACGGCTCATCTACTCAGGTGATTTTTATCAGAGTAATGAAAATAGGACAAATGTATATGCTAAGTAGCACTTAACATCAATATTTATGCAATCCCAATACCTATATAATTTAGTTTGCTTTTCAAATAGGACTTGCATAATAATAATAACAACAGTAATAATAATAATAATAATAATAATAATAAGTAATTGTACGAAACAAAAAGAAAGTTATTAATAATAATTATTATTATTATTTTCATTATTAATAGCAATAATAATATAATTTAGCTTGATTTTCAACTAAGACTTGCGTAATAATAATATTTTTTATTTTTATTTTAACTTCAAATTTTATCATATAATTTAATACTTATTAGTTAGAATAAAATCTATTTTAGTATAAGCCCAACTTTAAAGCATTTAATAGCTATTATAACCCTACTTTTTTAATTCTGGTGTAATTGTACTTTGATTGGTCATTCCAGATTATGTAACAGCGTTTCCCCTTACGAGGAGTAGTTAATTAATTTCAACCTTTTAAAACCCTTTATTCTACATTCAAAATCATCATTTGATAAGACACCAGAGGTGTTGAAATGGCTATTTTTAGTGATTTTATAACATATTTATGTTATAATTTTTTAATAGGTAATTTATATATATATATATATATATATATATATATATATATATATATATATATATATATATATATATATATATATATCAGGCATACGTTTATACATAATGTGTGATGAGTATAGGGAAATTTTTGGCGTTTGAGTTTTCTGTATGTTAAAAGAGCTCCATTTAAAATTGTTTTATTTTAGGATAGATATTGAATCATATATATATATATATATATATATATATATATATATATATATATATATATATATATTTTACAATATAAATTATCTATTATTACTGATAATATTAATATTTTGGGCTGGTGAATATGCGCCATAACAGAAGTTTAATAATAGTGCTTTGAGAAGCTCCCTCTGGGGTTATGTTTCGTAAAATATTATTCGTACAGACTATTGCTAATATTATGAAATTTACTTGGTCTTCGCCGTCTATGGTATTTTTATTATTAAAACTTAGTTTTATATTATTTCGAATATTTCTAATTATTATTTTTTATTTATTTCCAACATTGAATGAACCAGTGCGCCAATTTATGACACCTTTCCGACTGTACTTACAGGAAATATCGTAAAAAAATATCGCGAAACCCAAACAATATCACCATTCTTTATTATATGATCTTTCGTATTCTTGAGTGATATTTCATTAACCTATACCAGTCTCTCTTCCTTTCCATATATATATATATATATATATATATATATATATATATATATATATATATATATATATATATATATTAAATGTATTTTTTTTTTTTTTTATATTTTAACATTCTTTTTATAGATACAAGTATTGAAGTAAATGCTCTGTTTATAATAAACAGTATTAAATAACATTTGCCGGCCTGATTGTCCGAGAAATTTTCAGGCCGGTAAATGTTATTTAATACTGTTTATTATAAACAGAGCATTTACTTAAATACTTGTATCTATAAAAAGAATGTTAAACATAAAAAAAAATGTTTTTAATAAATTGTCGGACTTTGTCCATTTCTTAATCAATGTATATATATGTATATAAATTTATATTATTTTCCAATTTGTAGGTCTGATGAATTGGATCGTGATTACGATTCCAATGTAATAAATTATTATAACCATGGAATTTTAGTGTTTGAACCTTTCATATTATATATATATATATATATATATATATATATATATATATATATATATATTTATATAAATTCATCTTTTAAAATTTTAAATATACAAATTATCTTTAGTACTAATTCAGTTAGAACAAGAATGAAACGCTACATTTCTAAAATCATTTGGCGTAGTGCATCACATTCATCTAAAAATTTTGATATAGTGAAGATATTTGAGAATCTCAGATTTTGATTAAATTTCGTGTTTTTTATCAACTTGCCGTATTTTGCGAAACT